CGAACATGGAGAACATGAACATAAGGAGGATGAATGCAAGATCATAATTTGCTATCACAAAATCTGAGATTTCATGCTACGAATTCAAAAACATGGACCTGGGTACCCATACTCGAAGATCTTATGGAAACAAACACAAAAGCATGAATTTTAATGCAAACTTTCGGATCAAACAAGACTTTTATTCAAGAACACATGAATACTGCTTTCTCTTTCAAAAACCAACTTTCAATCAATGCATGGCTAGCAAATCAGGTCCGATCATGCAATGCAGTTAGATGAGCGTAAAGAATCACAAGAGAAGGTCAAGAATCTAACCTCAAGACACGAATCTAACGGTTTGATCTCTAGGAATCAAGCTCAAAGATCTACTTTCTCACTCTACAACTTCTTCTTCTTCCTAGAGCTTCTCTCTCTAAAAGACAAAGTTATGATACAAAATGATAGGTTCTCTTGGCTGGTTCCAGACTTAACCCTCTGCTGGGACACATGGCAGCGACTGGTTGGGTTTCCTCAAAAAGGTGGCTGACAGGCCAGACAAAAGCATGGCAAAAGAGTGTTCAACAAGTAAAGCGGGCAAGACGCTGACATCGGGTGATATCATCGGCTCCGGTAGGTAAGGTATCTATGACCTCGGCTAGGACGGACAACACTTGGCCTAACTGTGCCACACCTCGGCCTAGATGTGCCACACCCCGGTCTAGGTCGCACCAATCCAGGGACAAGATCACCAGGGTTCAAGGATAACATCTCGACCTAGATGATGCACTTCTCGGCCTTGATGATACACCTCGGCCTAGAGAATGACATCTCGGCCAATATGCCAGGATGGAAGCAGAGGTAAACCTAAGTGGTTTCAAGATGGTTTTAGCTCTAAAGTGGCCTCGGCTAGACTCACCAAGGGGGAACAAGACTTAACAAGTAATTCACATAAGCACAAACCAAGACAAGAATCTTATTCTAGATAAAGCAAGTCGAGAAAATTCATTTATGCAAGCTTATCAAAACAAAATCATACAATGCTCGTGCTCGAGGCTAAGGTGGGGAATGAGGGTCTCTACAAAACTGATTCTGAATGTTATGTTTGCCATACATCTAGGTATGTAACAGAGCAAAATGATTTAGGCAATGAGGCATCCTCTAAAAAAGGCAGCTATAAAACACTTTCTAAGGTTTTACATTACTTTCCTTTGATACCAAGGCTACAAAGGTTATTCATGTCATCCAAAACAGCATCATCTATGAAGTGGCATAAAGAAGGTCGTACCAATGATGGTTGTATGAGACATCCTGCCGATTCTCCAGCTTAGATGACTTTTGACCACCTACATCCTGATTTCGCAGCAGATTGTAGAAATGTCAGACTTGGTTTGGCGTGTGATGGTGTGAACCCTTTCAGAACATTGAGCATCACGTATAGCACCTGGCCTATAATTCTTATACCGTATAATTTGCCTCCATGGATGTGTATGAAGCAGACCTATTTTCTATTATCATTGATTATCCCTGGTCGTAGTGCACCTGGAAATAATATTGATGTGTATTTGGAACCTTTAATAGATGAATTAAAGAAATTATGGGTGGATGAAGTAGAGACATATGATGCATCAATTAAACAAAATTTCCAATTGCGTGCAGCATTAATGTGGACTATCAGCGACTTTCCTGCTTATGCTTATTTGTCGGGGTGGAGCACTAAGGGGAAGTATGCATGCCCTTCATGCCACAAAGACACATGCTTCTAGTGGTTGAAGCATGGCCGAAAACATTGTTACATGGGTCATCGTCGATTCTTGGACAAACATCATGCATTTCGAGATGATGAGTGATCTTTTGATGGTACTAAAGAAAAGAGAACTGGACCCAATCCTTTAACTGGTTCTATGGTATTGGATATGTTACATGACTTCAATATCACTTATGGAAAGATGAGTACTAATCCAGAATTACCATATAATTGGAAGAAAAGAAGCATATTCTTTGAATTACCATATTGGAAGGATAATCTAGTGCGTCACAATCTTGATGTGATGCACATTGAGAAAAATGTATGTGAGAGCTTGCTTGGAACACTACTGAATTTAGAGGGGAAGACAAAGGATAATCTAAATGCACGTCTTGACTTGAAACTTCAAGGTATAAGGCCTGAACTCCATCCAAAAGAAAATGCAGCAAATAAAACCATCTTGCCTCCTTCTTGTTTCTCATTAAAGAAACAAGAAAAAGATGTTTTTTGTAAATTTTTGAAGACTGTTAAAGTTCCTGATGGTTATGCAGCGAATATTTCACGATGCATCAACTTAAAGCAACGTAGAATCTTTGGACTTAAAAGTCATGATTGCCATATTTTGATGCAACAATTACTCCCTTTAGCAATTCGAGGAATGTTGAGTTCACATGTAACTTCACCTTTGATTGAATTGAGTAATTTCTTTCAAGAGTTATGTTCTAAAGTTGGTTTGGCACAAGACTTTATGCGTCTTGAAAGGCAAATTCCGATAACTCTTTGTAAGTTTGAAAAAATATTTCCCCCTAACTTTTTTGACATTATGGTGCATTTGCTGGTTCACTTGGCATCTGAGGCTAGATTAGCAGGACCTGTGCATTATCGTTGGATGTATTCTGTTGAGAGGTAAAGTTTATATTAAATTACATATTTCTTTACCATCGTTATTATATTTTACTTTTGTTATTATCGAACATCATTCAAAATTTTGTTTTTTGAACTTACCAAAACATAGGTACTTGAGTAGATTAAAGTCATATGTGCGAAATAGAAGTTGACCGGAGGGTAGTATGGCAAAAGCATACCTTGCAAATGAATGCTTGACATTTTGCTCGAGGTATATGGAAGGTGTTGAGACACGATTCAATCGGATGTCTCAAAATTATGATGAGGAGGGTAATGGTACCGAAGGATTATCTATTTTCTCAATGCCTGGCCGACCATTAGGTAAGGGCGTGATAGACACAATGGATGATGGCACAAAAGAAAAGGCACATCGATATGTGCTATTTAATTGTGAGACAGTCAACAAATTTATTGAGTAAGACACTCGACATCTGTAATCAATTTCATTATTATTATTATTATTTTACATACTTTTGCCACACCCTCACAAATCTTTTATATGGCATACAGACAACACCGTAGACTTGTTTCCATACAAAATCCACGTCTTTGTGAAATGGCCATTGATCGCATTCATAGTGAAACATTTCCAACATGGTTTGATAAACATGTAAGCAATGTTTTGAAGTTCCTTAAAATTTGATTTGATATTAACTTCAATTTCATTCCACACTTACAAAAGTTATGTCATCAATTGTCTGAAAACAGGTTGAGGAATTGCATAATGCAGGGGATAGTCAAATAACTGAAGAGCTTAGATGTTTGGCTCATGGTCCAAATAGAATTTTCACAAAATATAAGCGATACTTGATAAATGGTTTTAGGTTCCATACTAAGGAGATTGGCCGAAAGAGAAAAACTCAAAATAGTGGGATTATTGTCACGGCAAAAACACAAAGCTTTGCAAGTGGTAGAGATGGAAATCCGGTCTCTGGAGATGTTACATTTTATGACGTGTTAACAGATATAATTGAGTTAGATTATTTGTTTGGGAATAGGGTCGTGTTAGTTAAAGGTGAATGGGTGTCACAATCAGGGAAAAGACAAGATAAAGATTGCACACTAGTCAACTTTGCACGATTAATGAAAGATGCTGAGCCTTTTGTGTTGGCTTCTCAAGCAGAACAGGTAATGTATGTAGAAGACCTGAAACACAAAGATTGGCAAGTTGCTATCAAGATAAATCAGAGAGATTTTTATGATATGAATGAGGGGTCTTCTGTGGACAATGTGGAGGCATACTTGCAGAGTGTTGTATGCAATACACAAAGTGGTGATGGGGACAATAATTTTGATTTGGCTCGGACAAACATGTCTACTGCAATTGTAGATGCACCACTTTCTCAGGTGTTGAGAGACAACAATGTTCATGATGATGGAGATGATGATGGAGATGAAGAAGAATTAGATCTTATGTGACTGTTAAACTTATTGAACATTGCTAGTTATTTATATTTGAAAACAATTCTATAGTTTCATTTTGTTCTCTTTCTTTATCATTGTTTTTGTTAATTTAATTGATTGTTTGAAGAATGAATAATGCGTTTTTAATTTAACTATGTGATTTTCATATGTGGCTACAAAATATTTATTCACTATATGTTACATTTAGTCACTACCAAGATAGCAACGCAATAAAGGTGAATTCACAATTTTTTTTTTTGTTAATTTTCTTCAAGTATTTTGTTCATTTGCAAATAATTTGATTTGGATCATTCTAAGTTTACAATTTGATTTGTCTATTTTTTTTAAAAAGAAAAAAGCCTATGGACCCATATCTTCAGTTTCGCTCAGGCAATGTTGGTGAGTTTAGTGAGTCAACTCCATCTGAGATACAGCCAAATTCTAGTCAACCCAATGATAATGCAAGTATGCAAGTTCAAACCTTATAAAATGTTATTATTTCTTCGTATATAATTTATTATTAGTATTATTATTTATTTATGTATTATAACTAGATGGTACTAGTGGACAAAAGAAAACTAGAGGTCCCACGCAAATGCGTAATATTTGGGGTACTCGTGATGATGAGCGCCTAACAGTCAATTGGAACAAACTTGGCCAACCTGATGACAAATTGGCAACAAAGTTATCATCATTCATTGGAACTATTGTGCGTGATGGGAAAAATGCACCACTCACTTACAAGAATTGGCATAAAGTCCTAGAACATTACAAAGATCACATATGGGCACTTGTACAGGTAAATAACACAATATTGTGCGAAAGATGATCACATTTGAAAAATATTAAACATGAGTAATGTGATTAAAACAACACTATTTATAATTTTGTTTATTTTTAATTTTTTATGTGGGAAGATTAATTTTTTATCATTGTATTCTTCTTCTTCTTCTCTCTCTCTCTCTCTCTCTCTCTCTCTCGCTCTTTTTCTCTCTCTTTTCAGTCAAAGTTTGATCTTCCAAGTCATGCTAGGAAGTGGGTTATGAAGTGCTCTGGTAAGAAGTTAAAAGACTGGAAGGCAAACTTAAAGAAAAATTATTATAAGAACCACTTGAGTTTTGACCAACAAAAGCATTATAAAGATAGTAGAGTATATGCTGATCAGTGGGAACATCTTATTAAGTTTTGGAACATCGAAGAAGTAAAGGTATACCTGATCTAATCATTATATGTTATTTTACTTGCTGTAGTTTGGACACCATTAATTTATGCATTTGTAATTTTAGGCACAAAGTGATAAGAACAAAGCAAGTTGTGCAGAGCGAAAGTATAATCATACTACTGGAACAAAAAGTTTTCCACGTGTTCGAAAGGAGCAGGTTAATTCATCTTTTCATGTTGTATGTTTAATATGATAAGGTATACATAATGTGACAGAATGATATAATTTATATTTTGGAATATATTATTTTGTAGAAAAATAAGTTGGGACACTCTCCAACTCGTGCTCACATGTTTAAAGTATGTTATACAAAGGAGACTGGAATCCTTGAGGCAACGAAAGCAATGATAGTGTGTACCAAATAATTATATGTCCATTTGAACTTGTAGATTAGTTAAAATTTCCACATTATAGTGTTGAGTTATTGAAATGTATATATTAAGTTATGTTTTTTGCAACCTTATAGGATGAAATGAATGAGAGGACAACCTTAAATGCAAATTTATCGAATAAGGGCCCAAATGATGCATTTGGACAAGTGATGGGTAAAGAAAAACATGGACGAGTTCGCATGTATGGATTAGGTGTCTCCCCGTCTAATTTATGGAGAGATACATCTGGTCATGAAGCAAACCAAGACACAACAATGGATGTTATGGAAGCTGAAAATTCGGAGCTAAGGTCCAAAGTTTCCCATGTTCAGCATGCTCCGAATAACTGGACAAACACATCTAATCAGGTAATTTTTTTAATAGAATTTATAAGTTATTAACGTTTTCCTACACTTATATATGCATACATATATCTATGTGTGTGTGTTTGTAAAATTAAATAGTTCAAATTTGGTTAGGCCACAACAACTTCTACTCCTCTCGACATGGCAGCTTGACATCAAGCATGGTCTTTCTCATCGATACAAGATACTTCTCTTACTCAGGTACCTACTAAAAGCTAATCATAGATATCACATTACTTCCAACTTTATTTTAGAATAGCATGCAACACTTATTTTACAATTAACCAAGGAATGAATATTGCGGACATAAATTTCATTATTTAAATCTAGACAAAATGTGCTCCATAGTCTAAATCATGACATGACGAAGTTTGTGTGTTTTTTTTAAAAAAAAATTAATTTAATTTTCTTCTGAAGCTTTAACAAGACATCTCTCCATCATTTATTATCGCATGGGCTCTTTTTGATTCTCTCAAAATATTGCTTGAAAGTAATTAGTTGATTGTCATTTTTCACAATTACATTTGATTTACATCGTTGAGGTTAGGGGATCCTAATATTGATAATGGACATGGTTTTGATTGTTGTTGATTGGTGCTTTTGGTTGTTATTGAATTTTTAAGCTATTGTTTGATATGGTCTAAAGATTTACGATTGTTACTTTTATATAATTTGTTGTAGTGTATTTGGCTTGCTTATCTACTAGAGAAATCCATATCACTTTCAGTTGTGATCATCTTCACTCTAGCACTTTGTACTAGTTTTTTTTAACTATTATTTATTAATTTTAAATAGACAATTACTTAAGTAGTTAAATCTTGATTTACAGGTGGGAGATATAGTTGTTCTAAAAAGTATCATTAGGCCAACAGAAACAGTTGCAATCGGAGTACTTAAAAGCACAGACGCATCTAAGGAAGTAGAAGGGGAAGAACTGGGACTTGACTATTGGGAGGTACATGTTCAAGTGCCAATCAAACCTAATGAGAGCTTGATTCGATCATATGGACTTGTCAAAACAATTGGACAAGCTATTGGAGCTCATGTTGCTTGGCCTGCTCCATTTGTGGTATATTTCTTTCGTAAATACTAATTTCATTAACAAATTTATATTAACTTAATATAGTTTCAATTACCTTCATATGTTTATCTTTTGGATGCAGATTTCACAAGTTATGGATACTAGCCGAGAATATTTATACAAGTGAGGTTGAGAATTTGGGAACTGATTTTATTTTTGATAATTTTTCTCGTCGGAATATGGATATCACTATGGCTTTTCAGAACTTATGGTTAGAATAATTGTCTTTTAAATTGTTTTTGCTTTAACTTTGTTAGTGTGGTAGAAAATTTATAATTTTGGCAAGGGATTTTTTTTGCAATATAAATAAATTTATATTTCAATAATAAATAATTGATTGTGGTTTGAATTTTTTTTATTTTTGATGTGATGATCTTATAGTGGTAATATTTGTTTATTATTATGAAAATATTACAGGATGAATGGATGTCAAATTAATATATGATGTGGCAATTAATATTTAATTGTTTATAAAATCGATTCAATTTTTATAAGTATTTACGCATGCAGAATTGTAGCTTTTAAAAGTGTTAATTAAAAAAATATATTAGTGGCATTTTGTAGTAGTGACAGTAGTTTTGCAAAGTATCACTAAAACAAGTTCTAATGGCACTTATATCTATTTAATGGCACAAATGAATTAGATTTAGTGGCATTCATGAAGGTGTTATAAATATCAATTGTGGCATAATAAGCGTCATTAAAAATCTATATCGTGGCATTTTTTAGATTGCAAGTCTTCTTTAATGGCACTTGATAGCGTCACGAATAGTGCCTACCATGGCATTAAAGTGTCACTGAAAGGTTTTAGTCTTGATGGTGTAATGACACTTACAAGTGTCACTAACTCTTTTTTTAATGGCGCTTGATAGTGCCACAAATAATATCTACCATGACATTAAAATGTCATTGAAAGTTTTCAGCCATGATGGTGCAGTGGCACTTGCAAGTATCTACCGTGGCACTCGTATCTACCGTGGCACCGATAGAAGTGGCACTTGTTCAAAATGCCACAAGACCAAAAAATGTCATTAGAAGAATAGTTTTGTGGCACTTTCAAATGTCACTAAACTAAAAAAATGTTGTAGTGACTATATTATCTCCAATAACTTATTTAACTAACATAATCCTATCACTTTTTCTAATGACTATAACTATATTTTCTACAAGACCCTTGACAACTATTATTCTTACCCCATTCATGTATCTATCTTTGCCACTGTAATATAGCTTAAAACCAGTATCCTTTATTTCCTGCAATCGAATTACGCATTCTACCAACGTGTGTATGGGTTCAAATTTGACTTAAACAAAAACAACCAATAATTAGGAATGCAACTTAGGCGAGCTCACCTCGAGCAACCCGAGTTTAGCTCAAAATATTTTAGAGTTTGGAAAAAATATTTTTTAATTCAGTGTGGATTTGGACAGAAATTCAAAAGCCCGAATTAAATTCGGGCGAGCTTAGGCAAAGTCACTAAATAACCCGAGCAACCTAAAGCCCAAATTGTATATATAAATATATAAAAACATTAAACATGTATATAATTTATTAGTGAAATGTTAAAATAATTTAGATTGTTATTATATATATATATATATATATAAGTAACACAATACAAAACTTTTCTTTTTTCACCTAGAAATTGCAAAGATCACTATAGTGGCGCATCAGTCTTGTCAATTATAACCTATTTCCTCTCTGTCTTTTACATATAAATTATTTATTTTGATGTTATTAATAATTTTACTAAAAAATTGTTAATGGAGACTTATTATACCAAATTAATAATGTTAGGTTTTTATTCTTGGCAACCCCGTTTGACAAAACTCCTTTCAGTTGTATTTGTTTTCGCATTTTTTATTTCAATGAGGATATGAATTTTTAGATGTGAATCCAACCCGAATCGTGCCTTACAGAGAAGTTTGTGATGTTAATGCTTTCAAGATTGCCATTTCGCTGATTATGACGGGGGTCGAGCTGCCCGGTCAGGTCGCGGGCCGAAGCAAAATGCAAAATTGCATTCAAAATTACATGTCCACCCTTGCTCGCTCGATCCAAGGAGTGCTCGATCGAGCGAGGGCTTACTCGCTCGAGCCAAGGAGTTCACGCTCGAGCGAAGAATTGCGTCCACACAAAAACCTAAAAGAGTTGATTGCTCGCTCGAGCCAAGGATTCGTGGCTCGAGCCAAGGCACTAGTGGAAATCACGCGAATTAAGGTTCTCGCTCGAGCGAGAGAAGCTTCGCTCGAGCGAGCTTCAAAATTCGGATTTCTATAAGGAATTGGTTTTCTTCCAAAACTAGGATTACTTTGGATTTCTATAAGTAGTTGGTTTTCTCCCAAAACTTGGATGACTTCTCCAGATCTTCTTTTTGGATATTAAGGTTTATCTCTGGAGATATTTTGCTAGTTTTATTTGATGTTTTGATTGAGTATTCAACTCATGGTTTTAGAAGTTTACATCAAAGATTTGTTTGTTTAATTCTACACAAAAGAGAGAGTTGTTCTTCGGTGGATTCTGAAGAATTCAAGCCTGAAGCTTTGGTGGATTTCGGAGTGGCTTATCGTCAAGACAATTTCAGGGTCGGAAGAGACACATAGAGGTTGGTTCAATTCGGGCGTGGATTCACTAGGTAATTGAGAGTATACCTGCGTAATTCCTTTATATCTTCTTAATGGATTGTTTTGTGGCTGTTGCCCGTGATTTTTTTATCACAATTGGAGGTGTCCAATTGTGGTTTTTCCACATTAAATCGTTGTGTCAATTTGTCTTGATTGTTTGATTGGGATTGTTGTTTACTACTTAAAATTGATACATAATCACAAATCAACATCTAAGGGATTTCTAGATTTTTCAAATTAACTTACATTGCAAAAATAAAACAAAAAAATTATGGGCTAATTCAGGCAACTTGGATAATTCAGACCTACCTCGGGTCAGGCTTGGACAGACAATCTCGTGTTGTAATTCAGGCTTAGGCAGGCCTGAGCAGCTCTTAGCATAACTTGGACTGGGCTGGACTTAGACAACCTCTCAATCTAACCTAACCCGCCCTAGTTGCACCCCTACCAATAATTATTAACTAAGAAAAGACCCACAAAATTTGTTAGTGCTCGACTAAGAAAGGACCCAAGAAAATTTCAGTATTATGGTGTTTTTTGGTGTTGAAAAATCTAGAAATCCCCTAGATGTTGATTTGTGATTATGTATCAATTTTAAGCAATATATATCAATCCCAATCAAACAATCAAGACAAATCAACACAACGATTTTATGTGAAAAAACCACAATTGGACACTTCCAATTGTGATAAAAAAAAACCACGGGCAACAGCCACAAAACAATCTACTAAGAAGATTTAAAGGAATTACACAGGTATACTCTCAATTACCTAGCGAATCCATGCCCGAATTGAACCAACCTCTATGTGTCTCTTCCAACCTCGTCTTCACCTCAGAATTGTCTTGACGATGAGCCACTTCGGAATCCACCAAAGCTTGAGGCTCGAATTCTTTAGAATCCACCGAAGAACAACTCTCTCTTTTGTGTAGAATAAACAAACAAACCTTTGATGTCTGCTTCTTAAACCATGAGTTGAATACTCAATGAAACATCAAAGAAAACTAGCAAAATTAGCCCCAGATATAAACCCTAGAACCCAATAAGAAGATCTGGAGGCGTTAAACCTAGATTTGGACTGAAACACGTATTTATAGAAATCTGTCCCGCAATCTCCACTCGAGCGTCAGATTGGCCGCTCGAGCGGACCTACGCTCGAGCGCGAAAAGTTACGCTCAAGCGGGAAAAAACAACATCCAGTATTTTTGCAGGTGAACACACTTCTGAAACCCAGCATTCTTCACTCGAGCAGAGGAATGTCCGCTCGAGCGGACAGGCAACTTTGAATGCATTTTTGCATTTTGCTTTGGGGGCCCTGCCCCTCGACTCCGTCTGGGCGCTGCCCCGGATCCGCTATGGGGCGCTGCCCCCTGGACGCCCGCGAGCTGACCGGGCATCTCGATCCCCGTCATAATTAGCGAAGTGGCAATCTTGAAACTTCTCTGCAAGACATAATTCGGGTTGGATTCGCATCTAAAACTCATATCCTCACTAAAATACAAGAGCGAATAAAATTACAATTGAAAGGAGTCTTGTCAAACGGGATTGCCAAGAATAAAAACCTAACAGGTGTAACTTAAGTCAAAAGCTGATAATTGGAAAGTATAAGTCAAAAGCACCCTTCCTCCAACTTCAAAATAATTAGTTTTTCTCAACTTATTTAAGTTATTTATGCCTAATAAACTGTAAGCAAAAGCTGTACAAAACAGTCTAGCCTAATTTTTTCAAATTAAAATATCTATAATTAGCTTGTAGAATCCACACCAAACACCCCTTGTTTGTTGGTACCTAAAACACTCTCATAGTGTATTTATCTGATTCCTAAAACCTTTATTTATGATCTTAAAGACTTAAAAATGCCTAATTATGGCTAATAGTCAAAAGATCTTAATGAATATATGGACTTTGGCATACACTAAGCATATAGGTTTTACAACAATTATAAATGAAACAAATAATTAAGAAGCTATAAAACACAAAGGACACACAATTAAAGACTAAGCCTAAATATATATATATAATATATATATATATATATATATATATATATTTTAAGCACACCAAACACACTTACATAGCTTAATCTTGCTTTCAAAAGCTCTTCACCATGCTTTGATACCAATTACAAAACAAAAACGAAAGGAGCTTTTTACTATTTTTATCGAGTTAAGCAACAGAAACAGAACAAGGAAAGGAGAAGTTTAGGCAACAAAGATGGAGAGAATTCACATTGCTTTATTTGTTGGCTTGAATGCCAATTTATAGAATTCAACTCCATAAACAAACAAAACCAAAAAAGTCCAGTCTAAATTTAATACATACCTAATTGCTTGGACTAACAAATACATACGTCCAAATTTGCAAAAGCTTTCCAAAAGTTTACTAGCCTAGACTTAGGCTTATAAATACAATTTGACAATTATACATGACACCTAGACATATTTATGGAGGTTTTGGCAAACTCCAACTAAGCTACAATTATATACAAATATACATGACTGTCT